TGGGGGGCGGGAGGGGCGGGGGCTTTGGGGCCGGCTCGCTGTGGCCACCTGGGACAAGCCACCCTCCTCCATCGCCAGCGATGTCACGGCCACTTGCAGGGCCACCGGGGGGCAGGTGTCCTTTGAAGAGCCTCAGGACTAGGCTGGCTGGACGTCTGGGCCACGCTTCCCCACACAGAGCGGCCTGGGTCCACCGTCTGGCACTTGTTAGTTCCTGTGGGTCTTGGAGGAGGCGGCTTGGCGGGAGGCTCTGGCCCGGAACCCTCCTGGGATCGATGACTGGGAGGTCTGACAGAGCCGAGGCCAGTTCCTGGGGTGGCTGACGTCCACATTGCCAGCGGGCGGCCGGGGCTCCTCTCCTTCTCCTGGCCTTTCTGCGGCAGCAGGGCGGGAGCCCCGGCGTCTCTTACAACCTAGCTTTCGGAATCTCCAGCTGCTGTTCTTTACATCTTTCAGTTTCGTCGAGAGAGGGTCTCTCTGTGTTGTCTAGGCTGGTCTCAAAGCCCTGGCCTCAAGCGGTCCTCCCACCTTGGCCTCCCAAGCCCCTGGGATCACAGGCGTGAGCCACCATGCCCGGACAAAGCTTCATGTTCTTCACGTCCTCTTGTTGCACAGATCAGCACTCTTCCTTGTGGGATGGGACTGCATGGAGGGTGTGACGCCCTGGTGGTGGGATCACTGGGGCTGCCACGGGGCTGACTGCCATCCAGGGTGTGACAGAAATTCTCAAGATGACAGTGGCCTAAACTACATGACTGTTTCTCCTGCTTTCGCTCTCTGGAAGCAGCCTGTCAAAGGGGGGGGGCGGGTGTCATCTCATGGAACCAGCGAACCAGACTCCTCTTACCCTGCTGCTTTTCCTGTCCACGAGGGCCCAGGATGGCTGCGGGAGCACCAGCCCTCTTCTCCATGTGCCAGACAGCAGCATGGAGGATACAAGGGCATGTTTAGCAACTGCACACACCACTTGTGCCTATGCCCCACAGGTGGCGTGTGACCGGTCGTCCGGCAGGGTTCCTGGTATACTGTGTTCACCGTGGTTTCCTAGCATGGGATATTATGGGAATTCACAAAATGGCACATCAGGAAGGAGCACAATGTCCCCACTGGGCCGATAGAGAGGCTGGGACGGCTCTGGGGCTTCTAAGGCCCAGGCTGGGCGTTCGTTCCTGATCCTCGGTCCTTCGCAGCCTCAGTTTCCCCCTCTGGAAAATAAGGATAATGATACGTTCACCCCACGGGGTTGTCACGAGGCCAGTGTGAGTCGGTGTTTCTGCGCGCCCGACCGTCTCTGACCAGGAGTGTGCTTTCGACCCGGGGCCCCCTCCGCCCTCTTCTTTCCACACTCAGGGGACTGGCGGACGTTGTGTCCCCATCCTCTTCACATCCAGGGCGGTCCCTGCTGGAGCACGTGGCCTCTGTCGTGGGTGAGGCCGTCGGGAGTTTTAGCAAAACCAGGCTCGCTGCTTTTCGGGTAGGCGATGTGCCTCTGTTTCCTCGAAGGGCAGAGCTTAATTGACTCACCAAGGGCTGCCGTGCACAGCTGCAGGTCTGTACACTGCAGAAGGCACCGGGCAGGGCCGAGAGGGCTAAGACCCAGACCACTTTCTCCACGCAGGCTGGCATTGGCGGCTGCAAGCGGAACTTTGTTCTTATGTGCACACAGACCCATCCGCTTGCTGGGACATGTGCTTGGAAAGGGGTGTCTTCATTTCCGATTCACATTTCAAATCCCGGTTTCCAGAATGAATTCTAATTTCCAGTTCACACCGTGGGGCTGGGGCCCTGTGCATTGGCATATGTATTCAGCATACTCCTGCTGGGTGGGCGGGTGGATGGGGGGGCGGGTATGTGCTGGCTCTTTTAACTAAGAGAGATCCAGCTTCAGGCCCGCCTGGATCCAGGGTCTCGGCCGAGTCAGCTGTACTCTCGCTTCTGCATCACACGCTTGATTCTGTGTCTGGGCCTCAGTTTCTCTGGGTGTGTGTCAGGGGAGCAAGGGAGTGGGGAGTGGGAGGTGGCTCTGGCTGCAGATGGCCCCCGTGTTCTCGGCTTGTGAGATGAAAATCCAGGTTCCGGCTCTGACAGGCTGTGCACCCGCCTTGTGAACCAGCCCTGGTCCCAGCTGGGTGGGGTCCTCCGTTGCTGGCCGGGGTCCTTAGATCATGGCAGGAGCTCCTACAAGCCCCTGGGAGGAGGGCGGGGGCTGGACACAGGAAGCAGCCATTCCACAAGCCCTGATCCTTGGAGGGACCTTGGGGACTCGGGCTGCTGGAGGGTCTCCCGCTAAGAGCCCGGAGTCACGTGGAAAACCAGGAAATGTCAGCGGCCGGCAGGGAGCCTCAACTCTTGTCTATTTTCCTGTCTCCCGAACAGGGCAGCACGCTGAGAAAACGCAAGATGTACGAGGAGTTCCTCAGCAGGGTCTCCATCCTAGGTCAGTGGTCCTGCACCGTGTGGCTGGGTTCCCTGCAGTTGGCGCCCGTCTGAGCACCTGCTGCCCCCCCGGCGGTTCTGCCCTTCTCGGCATGGCTGGCATCGTGCAAGTATTCTCGGTGTTAAGCCAGTTGGGGACCCAACACGCACAAGCACTTGTTCACACGTATACACATGCACACACAGACACGTGCATGCACACACGTACACGTTCGCATGCATGCACAGGGGCACATGCACGCACACATGCGTATGTGGGCACAGACATGCTCTCTCTCTCGCTGGCCAAACCCCAGAGCCTGTGGTCACCGACCCTCCTGCCGGAGCCTCCTGCCCTCCAGGCTGCCTGTCTCCCTGTGCCCTGGAGGCCACACACCCAGCCCGTGTGAGCCGCCAGCCCTGCCTCCCGGTGACGACGGCAGGCTGCTTGGAGCTGCTCCCCAGGCTGCCTTGGCTCTGTCCCGAGTGTGGTTCCTCTTGGAGCTGACTCCGCCCCTCCCACGCCAGAGGTGGTCCAGGCCCCGGAAGGACGACAGGGTGGTGGGGGGCTTCGGGTGGGCCCTGGGCTCGCTGCCTTGTGGGAAGACACGGCCAGACCCCGCTTTACACATGGTGGCGCCGGCGGGACCAGGGGAGGCACCGGTTTTGTACCCGGAGTGGCTCTTCAGCCGTCTTGCACCAGAACAGCCTGTCGTGTGTGCGTCCTCGTGTGCGCACGTGTGTGTGCAGATGTGTGCATGCGTGACAGCGTGTCTGTGTGCGTGTGTGAGAGTGCGCACATGTGAGTACGTGAGTATGTGCATGTGCATGTACACATAAGTGTGGGGTATGACAGTGGCCATGCCCCTTTTGGGAGGACTTTGCCTGGTGCCCACATCCTCCCTGATGTCCCTGTGAGGTGACAAGAAGGCATTGGTTCCCTTGACTTTGTGAGTCCACGTTTTGCCAGCTGATTGTCTGACTATCCCATGAGTGCAGTTCAGGGGCACTCACACCCTCTGTGGCTGTCACCA